GTATTTATCCAATGCTTTGAACTTTAAAAACATTTTCAATTTAACCAAAACAATTCTTTATAATTATCTTATTCAAAATCGCTGAATTTCTTCACTTCCTGTTCAAAAAACAGGAGTGGGACATGTAGGAAAAATCAAGCTCTGCCTCCATATTGCGCAATCATCTTGCTGCTGATGGAGTCACTGTGCATCGTTCAACTATTCAGCACACTTTACACAAGGAGATGCTGTATGGGAGAGTGATGCAGAGGAAGCCTTGTCTCCGCCCACATCACAAACAGAGCTGCTTGAGGTATGCTAAAGCACATTTGGACAAGCCAGCTTCATGTTGGAATAAGGTGCTGTGGACTGATGAAACTAAAATAGAGTTATTTGGGCAGAACAAGAAAAACACCTGCTACCTACAGTAACAAGTGGGGCTGGTTCCATCATGCTGTGGGGCTGTGGGACCAGTACAGGGACTGGGAATCTTGTTAAAGTTGAGGGACGCATGGATTCCAACCAATATCAGCAGATTCTGGAGACCAATGTCCAGGAATCAGTGACAAAGCTGAAGCTGCTGAAGCTGGGGCTGCATCTTCCAACAAGACAACCACCCTAAACACACTGCTCAGAATCTACTGAGGCCTTCATGCAGAGGAACAAGTAGAACGTTCTGGAATGGTCATCTCAGTCCCCAGACCTGAATATTACTGAAAATCTGTGGTGTCACTTAAAGAGAGCTGTCCATGCTCAGAAACCATCAAAGCTGAATGAACTAGAGATGTTTTGTAAAGAAGAATGGTCTAAAATACCTTCAGACACAATCCAGACTCTCATTAGAAGCTGTAGGAAGTGTTTAGAGGCTGTTATTTCTGAGAAAGGAGGAGCTACTAAATATTGAGGTAAGGTTTTTTTATGGTGCCCAAATTTATGCACCTGTCTAATTCTGTTTAACCAATTATTGCAAACTTTCTGTAAATCATATAAACTTCATTTCACTTCTCAAATATCACTGTGTTTGTCCCCTATATGATATATTTAACTGATTTTTTAAATCCAAACAATGATTTATAAAGGTAAATAAGGAAAATTAACAAGGCTGCCCAAACTTTCGCACCCGGTCCTGTAAGAACTGCTCCACATGAAGAAAGTTCTGAGATCTGGAGCTGGAAATCCAGAACACTCAGCTCAATTAAAGGTGATAACATTTGTTTTATGACATCTGAGATTTCTGAAATAAACGGACAAATGAAAAGTGTTCTGATTTTGTTTCACTTTTGCAGCAGCAACAATTAAATCAGCTTTAAATCTCTGAGCAGCTGTGGAGGTGAATATTTATTGTTGCTTCACTGCCCCCTGCTGAACTCATTTGAACCTTTTTCTACTTCCCACAGCTCAAAATTATATTTATCTTTCTTTTCAGGCACAGCTTTATTTAATTGGGTTCCATATTTCACGTAGATACAGCCTTTTTATAATCTTATAATCATTATAGGCTGACATATTTTGCTGTGTTCTTCGTTTATTTATTTCTTTATTTATTTAGTTATTTTTTGGTTATTTTTGTTTTTAGTTAGCTTTTTGACACTTTCAGCTCACCTTTGCTACTTTTTTCTTTTAGCAAGCCTATTAAAAATTTAGTTTTAGCTAGATTTTTGTCATTTGACACTTTTGGGCAGCTTTTTCCTTTTGCCAATTTTAGCTGACTTTCAGGTACTTTTAGTTAACATTTTTAAACTAGTGTTCCACCAAGTCAGTTTCAGCTTTTTGGTGTGTTTCAGAGCTGTTCAGCGCTCATGTATTTCCACAGAAAATAATATTTTATCATCTTAATTTATAATTTATTTTTATGATATGGAAAAACAAAGTAAACCTCTGTGTGTGACTCCTTTTTTTATGTTTACCTTTTCTAGAAAGCTTTAAAACAGGCCAGGGTTTCTTTGCGGCACGTCACCGCTCATTACCGCTAGAGGGCGCCATTGCACAGCCACCCGCTGCATTTAATGTTGCCTTCAGAAAAAACAGGGAATTTTCTTATTTTTATAAACTCGCTTACCAACAAATTATCCTCCGCAATTAAACGTGTATTTTTTTAAAAGGTGTGTTTTATAGGTTGGTGAGCAGAACTTATAAAATAAATTAAATCGATATATCGGTCACTTTTGTGACTCGTTTAAAAGAAAGTGGAAATTTCCGACAGAGTTTGAAAGCAGCACAAGCTGCCTGTTCGGTGAAGATAACGTAGATAAATTCTAATCAAAACGGGGCTTATTTACTTCGGAATTAACTTTTTTCCCTAATATAAACGATGTCTGTTTTCATCAACATATTTGTAGAAGAATACACGCAGTTGTTAAATAGCCAAAGTGAGCAAAATGTGTATTTTTTAATTTTGTTTTAACCGTCTTTTAGTGTTACAAAATTATTTTAGAAAATAATTGAGTAAATTAAAGTAATAAAGCGTTAGATTTACTATGTTAAATTCCCGGTTATAGTCTGATGGCACGTCTTTTATCTGATTGATCAGGAAGTGATGACGGGCGACGACACTCCAGCTGTTATGTCACCCTCCGGTAGACGCTCATATTTAAACATTACTGTAAGTCTTTGAGGCATAAACCTTTGATATTTAATCGTTATATTGCAAACTGTTAATTTTCCTTACATTGAGGACATTTTCTGTTCCTTCGCTCAGAGCTTTTCAGAGCAACAGGTGCAGCTGGATGAGATGATGCGTTCAGGGAACGTTTAGTGCTCGGATATATGATTAAACTTTAATTAATACTTTTTAAAGTTACAATGATGTATGTAATAGCAACTTTTCAGCATATATTAGGGTTGTAAATTAGAAATAAGGTTATTATTTTGATGTTTTGTTTTATTTGAGCACTCGTCTTCAGATTTTGGTGACTTGTTGTTGTTTTTCTGACTTTATTCGGAGCTCGTGAACGTCTCCCAGACCCCGCCCCTCCGCTGTTTGTCCTCCTGTGGTAAAAGTCACTTGGTGTCATCGGGTGAAGTTCAGTCCAAACAGTAGTTCTGTCCCTCCGAGGAGGTGTCTCTGCTCCCCTCTCCGGCTTCAGTTTTCGGTTCGGGTGGACCCCCCACCACACACACATACTCCCCCGCCTCTCAGGATGTCTCCGTCCACGTCCCCCCGGTTCTTCACCGAGCGGGAGGTGGCCCGCCACTGCACCCCGGACTCGTGCTGGGTGCTGCTGGGGACCAGGGTGTACGACGTGACCGCCTTCCTGCGGATGCACCCGGGCGGGGAGGCGCTGATACGAAGCCGCGCCGGGAAGGACCTGAGCGCGGAGCTGGAAGGACCCCCTCACCGGCACTCGGAGAACGCCCGGCGGTGGATGGAGCAGTACTACATCGGGGAGCTGGACCGAGGGAGCGGCACCGACGAGGTACAGGTAAACCCGGGCGTCCCGACCCACCTGCCTCATCCCAAGGGTTTAACTGCACGAGTTTCCTGAGAGAAACAATCCCTAAATTCAGCTTTTGTCTATTTTAGTTTCAGTTAATGCTTTTTAAAAGTTTTTAAAATAATTTTTATTTAGGGAAAAAAACCCTCTTGAACAGGGGCGCCCCTAACATGTTTTATGTGGAGGGGCGTGTGTGGGGAGGTGGCCCCAGAACCAAAGTTTTAGGAGTCATTTGTTTTGTTGTCATATTTAAGTTGTTTGACAAATACATACAACTGGATTTAATATACAAAAGTTAATTTTTATTTTATATTTTTTATGTGAGGGCTGGTCGCTCCAAGTGATTTCTATTCTCACAATTTTTTTTCTTCTTCTGCTACTGATAGCTTTTAGCCAGCATTTACCGTTTGCTGCCCCCCCCCCCCCCCCAGCTAGCCTTTTGCTAGTTTTAGCATTTAGTTACCCTCTTTCAGCTGTATTTATTCAGGAAAATCCCAGTGAGATTACAAAGGCCTGAAGGCAGCCTGACAGACATGGTTCTGGTCTGCAGGAGGAGAACATGTAAACTCCTCACAGGAACCACCCCCCGGTCTAAACCAGGGATTGAACCAACAACCTTTCTGCTGTCAGGCATCAGTGCTAACCACTGAGTCCGTCCGTCCGTCCGTCAAACTTTTAGATATTAAGTAGTATTTTACCACTATTAGCTTTCAGCTGAGCTTTTTGCTGCTTTAAAATATGCATTTTCGCTATTATCATTATCTCAATGCTCTCTTTAGCTGCTTGTAGTTTCTGTGGAATATTTAGCTACTTTTAGCTTTTAGGTAGCGTATTGCTTATTTTAGCTTTAAAATACAGCATATTGCTTATTTTAGCTTTAAAATACAACATATTGCTTCTTTTAGCTTTTAAGGTAGCGTTTTGCTTTTTAGCTTTAAGGTAGCTTTTTGCTTTTTAGCTTTAAGGTAGCTTTTTGCTTTTTAGCTTTAAGGTAGCTTTTTGCTTTTTAGCTTTAAGGTAGCTTTTTGCTTT